AGTCAGGCATGTTGCTTTTCATTGTTTCTTGTTTTTTTTACGTGTATACCTTTTTTTTTATTAAGTTATTTTTTTGGTCTTTTATTGCCTTTATTTTATGGTAGAGTTGAGACTAGACAGGAAAGGGGGCAGAGAAAGGGGATGACAAAGCAAAGGGCCGCAGTCGGATTCTGATCCGGGCCACTGCAGCAAACTCCTTTACATGGGGTCGTAGCTCTACTGACTGAGTACGTGGCGGCCTGGCTCTGTAATATCTTATTGACACTGATTTTCTGAACTGAATAGTTTCGCATTGTGATTTATGTGTTGTTTCTCCACCCCACAGTCGTCTGATTGCGTTCCCGTGTTCACCTCCTGGCGGGAGTGGTTGTACGTATTATGACGACCTGAGGAGACGCGGTTGGATTCCCCATGACAGCCTGGATGCTTCTGTCCCCCATCACACCCCAATAGGGGTGAGACTGTCTGGCAGAAGTAAAAACAAACTAATCAAATTGGCATGACAGGATATCTATCTCTAAATGTACTCTGACAGATTTACTGTTGCCTTCATTTTGCAGAGTATCCAGAAAACGGGACTCCTGAGACGACCTCTTGTTGTGCACCCCACAGGCGCAACCACAAGCCCAGCCGGTGTCCCATTCGATTACTTTCCTCCAGTCCAGCCGTGAAGGACAGGCTTTCTTGCAGAACAGGTACACGTGTCCGAAACACCTGACACGTTCCATCAACTACATTGAGCTGGGTAGAAAACCGGCTTGACCTGATAGTATGATATGCAAGATTCAAGTGTTTCACGTTGACATGTAAGGATCTTTTTTTATATTTATTGTCAAAGAATTATACAAACTAATATAAAATAATATTAAAAAGCAATCACTAAAATTAATTGATGCAGTCAAGTCTACGCTAAATGTTTTTTCTTTCTTATCTAGGAACAGGAAGATGCGGAAGGTGGTGCGCGCTGGTGAAGGGAAATCTACTGTGGATGTAGAGATGCTGAATGGCTACCCTCGGGACAGAGCAGCGAGATGATACAGAGCTGTACAGGTTGTGTGTGTGTGTGTGTGTGTGTGTAAAATGTTTATTTGGACAAAAGGTATTAGAAGAGGCGGAGATTTGATTTTTAATTTGCTTTACTTTATTACCACTCTTTTCTTGTTTTGTTCATTGCTGCTGTAAACCATGTGCTTGTACTGATGTACTGGATTCATGTTGTCAAAGAGTAAATGCAAGACAGTTTTAATGTAAAGTAGATGAAGGGCAGGATGTTGTTTAAATTGGGTACACCAAAAAAAGCTGATCACCTTGTTGCTTCCATCAAAGATTAGACATGAATGAGTGGAATTGATCTCTTGCTCCTCCTCCGGTGTCCAAGCAGCATGCGTGTACTCGGGCTGGTAGAACATGCACTCAGAGTGGTGAGTATCCCCAGTGGGCTGATGAAGGTTATCTGGAGAGTGCCTTGTGGTTCAACGATGACATTCAACAACGCCTATCCGTTATTGAGAGGTGTGCTGGCTAATTTTGTGTTTGGATTGTGTTAGACGAATTGTTAGTTTAAGAGTGCAGGTGTGTATCGTATTATTCCATTTTCAGTGTATTGTATTGTGTTGTCAGGTTTGACAGACTGAACAAGGCGCAATGAAAACTGACAGGTGAAAGAAAAGTCTTGGATTATCTTTTGTTCAATATAATTAATGCTGGACGGTGGTCAGAAAACTGTGAGTGTAAAGGTTTTCCATCTTATTTTACATAAATATTTCCTCTATTCAGAGCTTCTACCTCAGCCGAGCTCATCAACTCGGCCCTGAGCCTTCCCTGTCAGTCAACCTGCTTGTCGATCACAGCAATGCCAACAGCAGTGCGCAGCACCGGGTCAAATGGAGCGGGCTTCACCCCAACCATCAGTGGATAAGCTTTTATAAACTATGCTTTTTTCATGCGATCCCTCTGACGCCTCTATACGTATCAGATGAAAGACTTGCTATTGGTATTTTCAGGATGTTGAGAAAAAACAGGGATGCTGTGGTTTGTTGTTGATTTGTTGTATGGGTATTTAGAGTTCCAGTATGGAAGTAGGTTGTATTTCACAGTTGTGATCTAATGAGGTGTAATCGCCTTGTTTGCAGGAAGAGGAAGAGAGTTTGACATTTTGCCCGACGAGAGAAGCTCTTGGCTGATCAGAGAAAGGTGAGCGCTGCAAATAGGTGACGGATAGACATCATGGTGATCGTGATTCTCCTACTTATCTGGTTGTTTTAGATTTTGGTTGCAAGCTGCTGTGGACTGATAATGATGAAGAGTGCCTCATCATTGTGTTCTTGCTAGTGTAGCCTTAGGCAAGCTGAAGAAGAGTATCTGTATCTTAGACTAAAACAATGCTTTAAGTGCATAATTGACTTACCATTTTAAGAATATAAGTTGGATGAAATTACAATCCGACTAGGGCGAGCATGAAGAATTGCCACTAAACGTGCCAGTGAAAGAAAGTCTACGGGGAGTGTTAGGTTTGGACTAGCGTACATGAACTGGGGCTTGTTAGATAAAATAAGAGTCTTTTCATAGTCCGAAATGGGTAAATCGATTTAAGCAGCAAAGTGGATCAGATAAAAAACGTGTGACAAAATTTATAATAACACTGTACAGCGAGAAAATAAAGAAAAGAAAAAACAGTAAAAAGACGATAAAAAATACTAGAGCGTTGACATGGTCAATTGATTTCACAGTATTATTGTCGTTGATTATTTGTTAATAAAGGCAACGTTTACATGCATATCTATATTATATATCATATATTATTTATGTATACTATTAATATATTCTTATATTATTGTATTGTATATTATATTTATTGGTTTATATATATAGCAATTATATATGAATATTAGTATTATATTAGTATATATATTCTATTCAAAGAAAGGAGCTGCTTGTCCTCTCACCACTGTTGATTATATGCTGATTATATGATTGATTTATAATAAATATCTACAGTGGGTCGAGTATTCAGACCTTTAAATTTTTCACTTTGTTTCATTGCAGCGATTTGTAAAATCAAAAAGTTCTCTTATTTCTCTTATGTAACTCCAACCCATCTTTGACAGAAAAAAAACAATGTGAAAATTTTTGCAAATTTTTAAAAGGAAAACTGAAATATACGATGGTGCATAAGTATTGACCTTTTGCTCAGTTGAGTAGGAAGACCCTTTGAGTAGTAGCATGAGTCTTCTTGGGAATGATGACAAGTTTTTTACACCTGGTTTGGGGTCCTTGCTTTCTGATATCTCCACGTTCTGTAGGTTGGATGTGTGAGCGTTGGTGCGCAATTTTGGTCTCTCAGAGTGCTCATTGGGTTCTAGGTCAGGCTCTGGCTGGGCCGTCAAGAAATGGACAGTTGTCGAAAGCACTCCCTTTGTATTTTTTAGCTGTGTGCTTAGGTCTTGTCCTGTTGGAGGTGACTTCGGCCCAGTCTGGAGTCCTGAGCACTCTGGAAGAGTTTTCTTCCAGGGTTCTCTGTACTTGGGCCGCATTCATCTTTCCTTCATTGAACCAGTCGTCCTGTCCCTGCAGCTGAAAAACCCTGCTGGATGCTGCCCCCCATGTTTCACTGTTGGGATTGTTTGGGAGGTGATGAGCAGTGCTGGTTTTTCACATACGCTTGAATTAGCCAAAAGTTCAATCTTGGTTCCTCAAGGGGGATTTCTTTTATAGTCTGGGTCTTCATGGTGTTTTTTTGGCACTTAGGGGCTTTCATAGTCTTGCATGAGGAGAGGCTTCGTCGGGCCTTGCCATAAGCCCGACTGGTGGAGGGCTGCAGTTGATAGTGACTTTGTGGACTTTTCCCTCTCCCTTATGCATCTTTGGACTCGCACAGTGATCTTTGGTTCTTTGTATACTCTTCACAGGCTCACGTTGGCTCAGTTTGGTCGGACGGCATGGTCTAGGAAGAGTCTGGTCGTCCCAAGGACTTATTCATTTAGGATTATGAAGGCCATGTGCTTTAGGACCTTGAGTGCTGCAGGAAATTTTTTGTACCTTGGCAGATCTTGCTGGTTGCACAATTGTGTCTCGTAAGCTCTTGGCAGTTCTTTCGCTCTCATTTCTCGATTTGCATTGAGCTTGCATGTTTGTAGGTCTTATTATCAGACAGCGTGTGTTGCTTTCTATCAGAGCATCGGTTTAATTAAACAAGTGTGCTCAATGAGGGCAGACGATCTTCAAGGAGGTCGGAGAAATGGAAGCGATGATGAGTTAATATGTGGAGTGTCGCAAAGGTCTGATCTTACGACCATGTGATATTCATTTTTTTTTTTATAAATTTGCAAATCTTTGCATTTGTTTTTTTTCTGTCGAAGAGATGGAGGTGCTGAGGTGGTAACTTAATGGAATAAGATGAACTTTTTCTTGATTATTGCAAAGGCTGCATATTGAAACAAGAGAGTGCAAATTTACAGGGGTCGAATAGTTTGTATGCTTTCGTAGCCATGGCATACTCTATAGTTGATATAATATTAGTGTCAGTTCCTTAACACTTTATCTTCAATACTCGATTTCCTGTGATTCTTTGTTAAATCTGGAAATAGTTTTTTTTTCTAAAATGTAAAATGAATATTTTGGGGTTGAATGAGATAATTACATCCAGCATTACCAATACTGTTACAGTTCCTGGTGTCCAGTGTCCCGTGTTATGGGAGGACGCCCAGGAGGCTGGCTGGAGCTTGCTGGAGCGTGATACGGAGGTTGCAGTCAAGGGCAGGGGTGTGTTATGGGCCACCATACAAGAATAGTTTTGAAAAGTGCTGGTGATCTAAAAGGTAACAAATGTTGTGTAAGATAGCGTAAAAACACTTGTCACGCCTTATCCTCTCGGCTTGATTATGGTTTTCGTTGTTATGATGGCAGAGAAAAATCTGTGCAGAGACGATATTGGACAAGATGGGTTATTGGTGATCGGTAGAGAATCAGTCCCTCTATGGTCGATGTTTTTTAAAGATGAAATCAGTGGGATGTTTGATAAAGAGTTAGTGTTTATGTCTCTTTGTGTTTTATTTTGTGTTGGTAATGCAGGAAGAGCAGTCTTTCAGTCAGTGAGGCGAGTGTCAGTTAAGGGTATGTTATGCTCTTTACTGCTTTGTTGCTGTTTTATGTATAAAAAGTATTTTTTCTGATTATCTTTTTGAGTGGTGTTGCATGTGGTTCACATACTCATTTAACTGTCTTTTCAGGAGTTTTGATAAGTTTCTAGAGATCGGGCGAAGCGGTAGCAACCACAGAAGGCGTTCGCAGCGTGACGCCCCGCCCAATCAGACCCCAAGTCTACCGGCACGGACAGCTCCGATGACCGCTGTTTTTCATTTTGAGTTTGAGGACAACAGGGAAAGGTGGTGGTGGATGTAAAGGGTACTTACCCCCCAGTGAATTACCTTTATCATGTTTGACGAGGTGAGCTCTAGTGCCAACAAGTCAAGCTCTCCTTTTCTCTGTGACGGTTGAAATGAAGCTAGACGGATTTGAGTGTGGCCTCTCCTCACTTCGTCACACTATCGCGATGTTAAATCGACAACAACAGTACCCATGAAACCGGTGGTTTCATTCGCGCCATTGCCCATGTACAACTTTATGCGCACCACATCATTTGTGTTCAGAGAGGGCTTGTTTCTGTGCGAGACTCAAAGCCGGACTTTGTAAATGTGTGGTGTTTATTTATCACTGAGATAATTGATCTCTGACTAGTATAATGTTGAGGCTTGCGCTTCTGGCTCTGTAAGTAAAGTAGACTTGTATACTATGGTAATGCTGCCAATGTCTCCTTGTCTTCCAGAAACGAATTTTTGACTCGTGTTTATCATTCTTATATGCTGTTTGAGCTGGTAAACCTCGCAGTAAATAGATTAGACGAAGCGCAACCTATCGGGTTTACAGTATATGAGAGTAGGAAGGGATTTTCTAATGTATAAGGTGGCTCTCTCACTTAATAGTTTGTGGATTAGTTTAACTTAGACCATAGATGTGTAGTTCGACCCTACAGCTGGATTTTGTGTAGATCGAATAAATGCTGATGATTGTTACTCGCGTAGAACTCTTGTTTTGCGGTGCACTGTTATAATTATTTGCTTCCTGCATCATGCCGGTGTATTTGTTATGGGTTTCAAGTTGGCATATTCTGGGCTATAGGTATGGTCTAAAGGAAGATCTAAGGTTTCCTCTTTGGGTGTTTGAGAGTGTGTGTCTTTTGCTAGTCTTGATGTGTTCTGGAAGATGGTGACTCTGCTATCGCTTGGACTCTGAATACAACAGGGCGGTGTCTATCTGTATATGTTTGCTGGCAGTTTGTCTCCTGGGCTGAAAAGTAACGACGAACTACTTATTCTCCAGTCAGTTTCTACGACTTCAGAAAAATGTCGCCATGCTCGGTGGAGCGGTCCGTTCCTTGTCTCGGTTGTATTGGCGACCTAGAGGAAAGTATATGCATGTTGTGGCATTCATTGCTCACGGTAGTATTTTGGGGTTGTTGAACATGAACCATGTAAATTAGGATCAATCATAAGTTAGATTGAATCTCTATGTTTGTCGATTCGATTTTAGTTCTAAGCAGTCAGTGTCTCTTGCATTTTGAGTCTTGTGTGTGAGCGCAGGTTTGTATCTCTTGTCTGGTTTCAGGTGCCCGAACATATATACTTGCATACGCTAGAGCTGTTTGGTGGGTGATAAAAATTACGTGTGGTGTTGTTTCCAACGTTGGATTACAGAGTCAAAGGAGTCTGTCTGAGCTGTTTGAGGAAATACATGTAGCTGTCCTCTCTGGCGGAGAGGAATCAGATGTTGTTAAAGCTGTCATTCTCTTTCGACAGAACGAATGGGATAAATGGAGCCATGGAGTGCACGGCTCACAGAATATTGATCTGCACTGCGTATCCATTCATACCTGGGATGTCGCATAGTCCTTAGAGGCGCGACTTCAAATATTGATGTGGTTTGTGCTCACCTTGTTGGATGAGTGTTCTGTGTTCGGATCCTTATGTTAGCTGGATGTTGCAGATTTAAACTTCGGTAGAACTTTTTACCGCGACGAATCTATGCATTGTAAATTGGTGATTGTCTCCTAAAGAAAAGACGGAAGGAGATATTTAACTGTACGGCTGGGTCAGTATTTTCCGCTGTTCTGGGGGAACAAGCAGGTAATACTGTTGTGGTGTTTCGTGTCCACGCTCCGCGCAATGCTACATCGGAATGATTCCTCCGTGGCTCATGAGAAAATACCCATACATGCTGTCTTCCTTCTCAAGAATAGCCAATGATGCTCGTGCGTCGCTTCATGCGCTCTGCGTACTGTTTGGTACTCTCTTATTGCACAGTTTCCTTTCATGGAGAAGTGATACATTGTGTCGGTAGCGGTTGGATGATATCTGAGGGTATCTTGATGTGCTCTCCCTTCACTTAGTTTGGCTGTAATAGGACAAAAGTATGAACGTGACTTTTGGCCACTTTTTTGCAGTAATTTTGGCCTTATTTGTGTTTCAGTGCAATTCTGGCAACACAAGCAGGAATGTGGTGTTTTTCCACCTAAATGTCAGAAAATGAGCTCTCTGGCTCTTGAAAACAAGTTGTTTCACGTTTAAGTGCCATTCTCTTCCAGAACGACGTAATACATCGTTGTCTCACCTTCAGAAAGATGCACGCGGCACCTCGGTTGATGATAGAGGGATTTGAGTGGCTCTTCAACTGGTTTGGCTGTGAATAGACAAAGTATGGAACGGTGAGCTTTTTGGCGCATTTGCCCATCGTATTTTGGCCTTAGTTCTGTGTGTTCAGGTGCAATTCTGGCCAACAAAGAAGGAATGTGGGTGTTTTTCCACCTAAAGGTCAAAAATGAGCTCCTCTGGCTCTGAAACAAACAAGCTTTTTATTAAGGTGCCATTCTCTTCCAGAGCACGACGTTCCACTCAGGTTTTTCCAGCCTAGAAAGATGCAGACAGCGATAGTCTGCGTCCCGTCGGGTTGATGAGGGTGGCGGGGGTAGTCTGCCTGTATGAGAGTTTGTGGCTTATCCAGTAGTGCCTAGTCTGTTGGAGGAGGCTGCAGAAGCGCGTCCAGGTAAGTTGGGAGCAGGGAAGATGGTAGATCTGGATCAGTTCTCTTCTCACGTCGCCTTGTTGGTCAGGAGATGACATGCGGGTTGAGGTCGTTTTGTGGCCATTATGCTATGTGGGTAATTTAGGGGACCTTATATTATGTATGTGGTGTGGATGCGTGTGAAGGTTTTGCGTGTATACAAAGCCGCTGGCCGCGTTGAGGGAGGGTGCTGGTGAGTTACACACACACACACACACTACAGAACTGCTGTATCATCAACCACATTGTGTAAATGCATTATTTTATGGTTCATTCTGCTGTTTGTTATTGCTATGTAAGTATAAGCAACTTTATATGACTGTATTTATGACGTGTATCACTTTAATGTTGATGTAAACAAAAACTTAAATTAGAACAAATATTTACAGTTAAGTATAATGTTAAAATATATTTGATATTACGCCATAGTGTGCCTTTGACCTACACAGCTGATTTTGTGTAGATCAGAATAAATGCTGCTTTGTTCTGCAAACATGTTTCATCCGCCCTCTTTTTAAATATTTTCTGCCATGCCGTTATCATGATGGGAATTTACCCAGAAGCTTGTTTTTGAACCGATCTAAGAGCACTCTTTGTGTGAGAGCGCTGTTGTTTTTGAAGATCTTGTGTCTGAGGTCACTGATACAGCTCCACTAAATCGAGGTCAAATAGTTTGTTTCTTGGGTTTGCGGTGAAATAAGCAGAACTACTTTTTCATCTCAATGAAAATGTCTCCTTGGTGACAGCTCAGTTCCTGTCTTCACTACCTGTCCCCACACATAAGAATCTGTTAAAATGCTGGTAATTCTGGTTGTTGACACATGAACCAAAAATAAAGCTTCTCATATTTGTCTTGTATGTTTGCATTGAAGTTAGCCAAAACATCAGAGCCTTGAGTTAGCAGTGGGAGCTCAGGTGTACTCTGGCCGAACATAATAATACCTCTGCTGTTTGTGTGATAAGGCACTAATTTCAGTATGTTATTGATTAAGAGCTCAAGGATGTCTGGTGTTTGGTACATAGAGTCCCTGAGGCCCCTAGAGGAGAACCCATAACTGAATGGGTGAAAAGGAAGACGAGAGGAACAATTCCTCATTCTTCTACTATCCACACCTAAGACCATGCCTAGGCCGCTCAACTGTGCAGTCTGGATTTCTGTGTCGGTCCTTCTGTGTGGATCTGCAGCATTTACTTCTAACATTTCAACCCAGAATCAGCCTCCAAATGTGACTTTGTTTCAAGACGAGGACGACACAGGCTGGGATTCAGCATTTCTTCAGCTGAGAGCCAGTCTACTGTCCTACTCGCAGTCAGTCCGCCCATACACCCTGCTGACAAACGCTCAAGACTACCACTACATGCCCAACACGCCGACATCTTTTGACCAGTTTTGGATGTCCATAGAGCAGCCGTCTGAATCATCTGGGGGTCAACCTTTGTTGCGTGGTGGCGCGTTGTCTGCCAGAGAGAAGTTTAACCAGAGTGCCTCTCCAGAGCTGAGAGAGGCTGCAGCAAGCCAGCGCCAGAAGCTGGAGAAGGAAGCTGCAGATCTGGACCTCAGTTCTCTTCCCTCACAGGTCGCCCTTTTGGTCAGAGACTGGTTAGTGTCCTCGGCCTCTTGTGGTTTAACCTACCAATGGGTGGATCTGGGTCTTGCGTTCTGGCCGCGTTGGCTGCGGCAGACTGATTGTGAAAGATCAGATGAAGGGCAAAGTTGCTCCTTTCCTGGTGGGATGGAGTGTGTGCGAGCTCAGATGACTCACATAAACATCTTGGCGTGGCATTGCTTGGATATCAGAGAGGGAGGCAATGGGTCTAGAAGGATGAGGGCTAACGGGTCTGACAGCAGCACTGAGATGGGGACAGGTGAAGTCATGAAAAGGTGTATATGGAGGCAAGTGCCTTATCCTGTGGTCACAGCATGTACATGTTCATGTAAATGAATTGTTTTCTCATCATAAGGTTTTCCCTTCCCATCTTTTTCCTCAGCTGGGTTTCTATATAACACTGACAATGAGTTTATATGACTGATGAAATCAAATCAATTTGTTGAGTAATTTTCCAAACCTAATTAAAGCTGATTTTAATCTTTTCATTGCATGTGCCCTAATGCTACTGGCTTTAAACAGAATTTAATAAAAACATTTTGTCCTGATAAATTGTTAAATGATTTATTTGTGTGTTTTCTGTGATGATCTTTTCCAGAGACAGCCAAAGAGTCCAACCACAGTCCTCTATTGTTATTTATGGAAACAGCTGTGAAGGCTACTTATTCACTTTCTCCATTCTGTGATGGTCTGATGGTTACAAATGTCAATGTTTTGGTCACAAAAGTCAAGTAAATGTATGATATCAGTTACTCTATACTGTCAGTTTGGACAGCACTGTGGTCCCATAGTTCTTGTGGGTTGTGTTACATTCATATCATGTGGGAAATTCATGTATCAGTGGTTTCGGTCGACTTTTTACCTCTTTTTTTTCACAATTACTATGGGTGTAATTCGAGTGTGATATACAATTTTATGTCTTACATCAATAAAACATTACAGTGTCAACCTAAAATAGAAAATCCAAGACGAATTGGTATCCTGTTGGGCTGTTCTTAGGTGTAAAATACCTTCAATGTGGAATGCCTGTACCAAATTTGTATACGGCTGGTCAGGATGCTTCCAGGTATGTAAATATTATGATTGATGTTATAAAATGAGATCTATAAGACTAAGTGTCCATTACAGGAGAAAAAAATGGTGCATGTAAGCCTTAACCTTAAGATCCTCAAAAAGACACCAAAACTATCACAATCAGTCAGCTGCTGCTAAATTGATGGTTTTGGAGTTAATTAAGATCCACTATGCTCCAATAGCAGCCCTCTTCTACTCAAAGCAGTCTACAGTGACCATGTTGTGTGTGTTTTATCATTATGGACACATCAGGTGCTGAGACAGTTTCATTTCTGACTGTCGTTCCAGGGAATGGATAATCACAGCTGCACATCAACATGTAGACACAAAAGTTGATATCATCTGTTTGTCTTTCCTCTCTCTCTTTACACTCTCTCTTAATTTTAATTGTATTAATGTTTTGGTATGAGTATTGCAGAAACAAGTTAAGATTTATAATGCAACCTAATAATGACTCAAAGTGTAAGACTGTTCCTGCTGGTCCTCCTGCGCTGGTTCCTATTTCTCAGCAGCAGGCTGTCAGGCATCCAAACTAATCTGTAGAAGTAAATACCAGAGGTAAATTAATGGCAGCATTAACAAAAGTCTCCTGCCAATTTTAAATTTTTCAAGTATTATAATACTTATAATATTACACGCTGATATAAAATAATGCTGAAATGCTAATCAGAATATTAACTGTTATTTTAAGTAGTTATTACTGTTAATAGGTGTTTTGTTTTTGCCTACAGTACAGTTTGGTAGGTTTGGTGTTTTTAGGTTCATTTTAGTTCTCAGTTTCAAGTCTGACATCACTTTGATATAAAATATAACCTACTTCCACACACCTACCATAACATTGCTTTTGACTTTACTTATTACCTCTATATTTTTCAGTATTTCAATTTCGCACCATTTGCACGCACTTAGTTCGACTTTGTCCGAGGAGCCGTGAAGGCAGCAGAGTCGGTAACGTCCCACCTGCGCTGTACGTTACGTTGTACACAGACAAGATGGCAGCTCCATTGGAAGACGAATTTGAAGATGCGCCTGACGTGGAGCCCTTAGAGCCGACACTGAAGAACATCATCGAGCAGAAATCTCTCAAATGGATATTTGTGGGTGGGAAGGGTGGTGTTGGTAAAACGACATGTAGGTAAGTTGAGTGGAAACGCTGATTAGCCTCCAGATATCGAGGCAGCATACGTCGCTAGCGAACATAGCTAGCGTAGATTAGCCCCCAGTCGTAGACGTGGGTGATTACTCAGCTAACAGACAGGATGGGTTGTTTGTTTGTTTGTTTGCTTGCACAACAAGAATCTAATGAGCGTTAGTTTGCTAGTTTAAGAAAATCTCCACCGGTGCATTTGAAGTCAGGCTAAGCTTTGAGTCAGTTAGCAGGGTTGAACCAGCACTGTCACCAGCTAACGTTAGCCTGCTGACACATGTAACGTTAATGTTAATGTGAGGTATTCATGACTTTCTCAAGTGGTTTTACAATCACGGTGCACAGTGACACCGACAGTCTGCGTGTTCTCACGTTGTCCCTCGTTCAATAGGAGGGCCTTCTACCTCGTGTTTATTCAACAGGTAACTGTGTGTTAACTTGAAACAGCTAAATGGACAGCTAGCTGGCGTTAGCTGTAAGGTCTGACACAGTACGCCCCCTTTGACTGTCGCTGAAGCAACGACACGTCGTTAAAGATGTTTACAATTTAAAAAAAAAAAAAAAGAATATACCATGTGATAGAAATATAAATGCACCTAGAACCATCTAGTCCATGACAGGTATCTGCTCACTGCAGCTTTTAAGATCAGGAGAAGAGAAAATGTAAGACTGTTAATACTGTCAGTGTGTTTGAGTCAGGGCTGCTTTCTGTGGAAGAAGTGCTGCTGACAGGAGTTGTTCTAGTGGAGCACACTCTGTACTGGCTGCCCACCTCTTGTTGGACAAACCTGTCCTGTGTCTTTTGTCCAGCTGTAGCTTGGCTGTCCAGCTCGCTGCTGTCAGGGAGAGCGTCCTCATCATCTCCACCGATCCCGCTCATAACATCTCTGATGCTTTTGACCAGAAGTTCTCAAAGGTGCCTACCAAGGTCAAGGGTTATGACAACCTCTTTGCAATGGTAAGTTACACTGCATTGGAAAAAAAACCTGTGAGCGCCCGTTCACAGGGAGACGCTACAGGCAGCAATTGTGTAGTATTGTGAAGTAAAAATGTGAATGTCACAACCTGTTTTTATATACAGTCAGTAGGAAAGCACCAGTGTTAGTTATAACATTAGCTCGTCTCTCTCTTCCTTTTAATTGTCTCAGTAAGCTATTCTCATTGTGTATATACATTACTGCACAAACTGTACATTACAGTTCACAAATGTACTATTACTCACCTGTTGACCACAGTCTTCAGCTGTCTACTACAGTAATATATTTTATTTTATATTGTGTTATATTGTTATATTTGAACTACTGCACTAGTGTTAGATTTGGTTCCGCTTCTGTGATTTTTCCCTATGCATATATTTTTTAATACCTATATGTAAGAGCATTGTTGGAGGGAGCCTGAGGTCTAAGAATTTTAATGGTAACAACAATTGCTTAACTGTAATTGTTATGCATTTGCCAGTGAGACAATGTTTAAAGGGGACCAAAATATAGGCCATCAAGTCCAAAACTATCCAACAGTATATAAAACAATTGCTCAACTTAGTACTGTACTAACACAGCAGTAAAATGCAACATTAATGCAGCAGTGATATTAATCCAAAAGCATCATATATATAATGGTAAAACAATGACAGGGACCATTTTACTGCACAGTTACTACTTAATAACTACTACTAAGTAAGAGGTTTATTTTATAATACTTGTAGTGGTGTATTTTCACAGTGGGGTTGGTATGAGTACTTTTACTTCATGAAGTAAAAGGACTCATACCTGAATACTTCCTCCACCTCTGGTTCTCACTCCCACAGCCTCTGACCTAACTACACTTGTGTGTTGCTGTCTGCTCCCCTTTAAGAAAGCTGGGCTTGTGGATAACCTGAGTGTGTTATGTGTCAGCTAGTTAGCTGTTAGCAGTCACTGCGTTGTCTCTTGTGATTGTGATTGATCAATATTCATGGGAGTGGGGAAAAATCACTCACTACTGTGATACCAGACCCTGAGAAACGAGTTATTTGCGCATTATTCGCATCTAGTTTTTAATAAGGAAGTCATCAATTTTTATTTTAGGGGCAGTTCAAAACAGGACATGCCAAACTTGCTGTGTGCGTAGTTAATTTTAGAAGGGGCATTAAGGCCACTCGCGGTGCTTCCACGGCACTGGCCGTTTGGCCTTAATACAATTCCCACCCTGAAATTTTAGATAGTGGCTAGAAACATAGCTACATTTGCTTACAAAGAAGTCTATTTATGCTGTTTTTGGAAAATTAAATTTAGTGAATTAGGTCACTATCTCTTCAGTGGGGACTTCACAAGGATAGTCAGTTTCACATCTCGGTCTCAAGCACAAACCATCATTGTGTGAGAAAGTGAATTGCAGGAAGCTTTTAAATCATTTGCAGTTAACCAGTTTCCCTCAGTTTGCAATGTGCTCATTACCTGTGCTTGTGTGAGTGCAGGAGATTGACCCGAGCCTGGGTGTGGCAGAGCTGCCTGATGAGTTCTTTGAGGAGGACAACATGCTCAGCATGGGTAAGAAGATGATGCAGGAGGCCATGAGCGCCTTCCCTGGCATCGACGAGGCCATGAGCTACGCAGAGGTCATGAGGTAAGACAATGTGGTCACTGCATTTCCTTTTTCATAGTAGTATGACCAGTGGTGTAGTGGTAAACACATTAAGTGATAGAGTTGATCTGTAAATAGATGAGTAAACTCTGACTAAACTCTTAACTGAGCAATAAAGTTCTCCTGTCTGCCTGTAATTCAGGTTAGTGAAAGGAATGAACTTCTCCGTGGTGGTCTTTGACACTGCCCCTACCGGTCACACACTGCGGCTGCTCAACTTTCCCACCATTGTGGAGCGTGGTCTGGGCCGCCTCATGCAGATAAAGAACCAGATCAGCCCTTTCATCTCTCAGGTGAGGAGGGACGAGCAGGTCCAGTCACTCACTGATTGCAGGCATTCACCAGTTTTAATGTGAGAATGTGTGTCTGTAAAAGCTCCACAAAGCCACTGTTGAACTTATGATGCAAAGTGGGTAATATTCAATACATTAAATATTAGCATTGATTCCAACTCTTGTCTATATGTTCTCTCTATTGCTCTCTCATTGTAGATGTGTAACATGCTCGGTCTGGGAGACATGAACGCAGACCAGCTGGCCTCTAAGCTCGAGGAGACCCTGCCAGTGATCCGCTCAGTCAGTGAGCAGTTCAAAGATCCTGTAAGTCAGTCCGGTTGCAGTTATAACACAAGCACACCACTACTACATGGTGATATGTGTTGCCATGCAGTTGCTTTTATGTTCTTTGTTTGCTTTGTGCAATACAGGCTTTTGAAACCACATCAAGTTACGCTTCTCCACTGTGTTTCTGTAGTTCTGTATCTACATGCACCGGCCCTGTATCTCTTGTAGTGGGTTCCACCTTCTTCACATAAACCTAACAGAGCCTACACTGAGAGCGCAAGAGCTGTGATTTGGGTGTCATTTGTGATTATAGTGATAGTGAAGATCACATGAAGCACTGCACTGCACTCCACTGCAAACCTTCTCCTTGATGTGTCTCACTCTGTCTCACTCTGGACATACAGACAGCTCTACACTGTATGCATCTATACAGTGTGGCTGTATTGCACGTGTACGTACTGTATGCCTGTGGTGGTGCAGCCTCCCACTATTCTACTCTACAGTTTGAGAGACATAGGATTTTGACGACGGTGTCAATGACAACGCAGTTTGAAATTTCAGTACACTGTAAAATGTTTCATTTTTTTTTAAATTCTATATGTAATACAATTTGAAATACATTTAGCATTTAGAACAACTCAGCACTTAAACTAGCTGTATTAATAGCTTTCTCGATGTGTGTTGTAACTTTTTCCCCTTCCCTTTCACACCATCAGGAACAAACCACTTTCATCTGTGTGTGTATCGCTGAGTTCCTCTCCCTGTACGAGACGGAGCGGCTGATCCAGGAGCTGGCCAAGTGCCGCATCGACACACACAACATCATCGTCAACCAGCTTGTTTTCCCTGACTCAGAGAGACCATGTAAAATGTGTGAAGCCCGCCATAAAATTCAGTCCAAGTATTTAGACCAGGTACGAGTACAGTAGTCTGTTTTTTGGTTGTGACAGTTGCATCCAGTGTTGCATGTCGTCGACTTCATTAATGCTGTGTCTTCTCCCTTCAGATGGAAGACCTTTATGAAGATTTCCACATAGTCAAGTTACCACTGCTACCCCATGAAGTTCGAGGTGCCGACAAGGTCAACACGTTCTCTAAGCAACTTCTGGAACCCTACAAACCCCCAAATAAATGATCTCCCTCCCTGCAGGACCTCCCTTCTCCCTCCTATAGACCACACCTATACAGTCTGAACTCACCTCCTCTGAGCTCCCCCCAGCCAGCCTCAAACCCCACAGTAACGGCCTCAAGTTGATCCACCTATTGCTCATCCCATCATCCAAAGCAGAGCACTGCTACAAGACCACGCCCTTATTGATGGAGAGCTGATGAAGTCACAAACACACACACACACACACATACATACATAACCTGCTGTATTGTTAGAGAGATCAGACAGTACAGATTTGTGCTGCCGTACTCTCAGTTCACCTTCTCTTTCCTTCATTTCCTGTGTGGCAGTTGTACTATTCGTACTCGAAGCATTTAACTTTTTCTCTTCCCCTTCTTCCACCTTGTGCAGTGTCCAGCCTCAGTTGTGAAAACAAAGTGTTTTCAGTGACGGTGCTGTGTATTCCAGGATAAAATGTCTTTCAGATGGTTAATGTTTACGCCTTCTGTATTCTGTGTGGTTTGGTGGCGCTGTCTAATCTCCAGTTTGACTTTTGACTAAAATTTCACGCAAATTCATCTGTCACATCGTGAATTTACATCTAAATCGCTACAGATTCCGAGTGTGACGGCAGGGCTGTGAAAAAGAATGGTTAACTAAAAAAAACAAACAAACAAGAAACCCAATATGGTCTGTGGTCATTTTTATTCTCGACCAGGACCTTCCTTGTTATTGCAATAAAGAACCAGAGCAGTCTGTAGTGTCTTATACCATTCGTCCAGTCATTAGACCTCACCTCGCTGTGTGATGTGGTGGAAATGCAGTTACCTAATGTTAATGAGATTTTGAATCGAGTCATATTGGTAGCTTTATATCCATATGTGGCTGTTATTGTTTGAACTGGACAGTCTAGCTGGCCTCTGGTAAATATTTTAGGCCAGTGTGGTTCGTCCAGGTGGTATGTGGTTGGAGACAGCACCAGTTTTATGAGATTCAAAGGCAACATGTGTGATGTTTGAGCAGTTGGACACTAAAAGAGTTTATTATTGATGCAGCTGAACTCCCAATACCAGGTTCCCATACAGTGCTCATAAAACTCATCAAATACTCTTCTCTGTCAAACATTTTATGTCCACCTTGTTTACTGAGAACTATATGGGAACATTAGTAGCCTTATTTAGTGCATTGTTAATTAAAATATACTGAATGTTGCTTGATAAGATGTTGAACAAATGAATGGAGTTATTAAAGTTGAATCAAAGCATCTTTGCCCTTGTGATTGAATACTGGACTCTGATTGGCTTGCCTGATGCTTCATTGGTTTCCAACAGAAAGATATAGATGACAGGTCAACACTTAAGAAAAAGCGTTATTACCCCTTATCTGTCTCTGAATGCTTTTGAGTCAATAAGAATCTGTTTTCTATAGATTTTCTTTAAATTATGTTGCGAGTGTTAATTAAAACAAACTTGCTTCAGATGAGAGCCTTTTGTGGTCATTCTTTTGTTCTGCTTATTTAACACGTCTGTTAATTGAAGTAGACAGAAGCAGATTTTCATAAGAGCGCACTGACATAAACCGACCGGACTGCTGATTGCCTCTGACAGAGCATGAAGCCTCAGTTAACCTTCAACACCACAGTTCAGGAGCGACAACCAGGAGAAACTGACTTTAATTCAATTACAGATACAAGGAGAAAAAGATGTGCCACAGCAACACTAAATATTAAGAATGATGAAGTAAAAGTCCTGCTCTTAATCTACTTATGTAAAAGAACAGAAGTATTATCAACTAAATGTACTTTAAGTATCAAAAGTAATGCAAATTGACCCTGTGACTTGTATATTATATATAGAGAGATATTTCATCATTGTTGTTAATGATGCCTCAATGCTTAAGTATTAATATTATTAAGTAGTATTTACTGTTGTTCTGTAAATGCTTTATATACACATAAATATAGTATTAGGTAGTTTCATCCAGTGGTTCCCAACGTAGGGGTCGGGACCCTTTAAAAAGGTCACAGGATAAATCTTAAATTATTATGCTTAATTAATGTGGTAGAAGAATATGATTTTGAGACATTTATTTAAATTAAATTAAATTAAGGGAAATGTCTCTTTGGTGGAAGTGCTCACGGTCACAAGCCACAAAAGGTTTTGGAACCACTCTGTTAAACCTCTGAAATACAATACATTGTTACAGATTATCATATTTATTCTTAATGTAAAATCCTAATCTGTCAGATAAATGTAGTGTAGTAAAAGTATAAAGCAGCATAGAATGATAATGCAGTATGTACAGGACTTTAATAATGTACTTCATTACATTCCTCCACTGCAGGAGCATCAGGCACAGTGAGTGTCACTGCTTAAAATATCCACCAAGTCATTCAGTTTGTTGTTGAGTCGTAACAAATGATTTCCTTTAAAAAAAAACAATGTCCTGGTGGGAAATTGCACTGGGAACAAGTGGGATTATGATCCCCCACAGGGAGTTTTTTTCTTGTTGTTCTATGAAAAGCTAAAGTTTAAAAAGATGAATGAGACCAAACGACACAAGACCCATCTCATTCCAGTCAGTTGTTATATTGCAGGAAATATATATGTAATGTTGTTGAAGCCACAACAAGTATAATTATAAACCTGGAACCGGGAAAATTGGTTGTTGTTTTCATATCACTTAACACGAAAGTTTGCCATGCTCCACTTGTTCCTGTTTCATAATTCCCTGCTGTACTGTACGCTCCTGTGCGCTCCTTGTGCCCCGGCGCTGCGGCCTGTCGCTTGTGGTCCATCACCGAACCGCGCTCTCCCGGTCGGGGGCCGCGCTAACGAGCTCCTCCTCCTCGTTTTGGGGATTTACCCCGGGGCGCACTGACCACTGGACGCACCGTGGAGGCTCCGAGGATTACTGCCATGCAGCAGAGCGAGCCTCCAGTTAACCGAGCTGATATCAGGGTTATGAGCGACGGCGAAGAAACACCACTGGCGAGCACCGAGAAGACTACGCGGCTGAGTGAAAACATGAACTCACTTCTCCATTTGTGCCAATTACGCACAGAGATGCGCTGAGCAATCGGCGGCTCATCAAGAAAAAACACCACGAAAGGTAAGGTGATATTCTTTCAAGGCAAAAGACATTAGAAGTATTGTTAATAGTCTGTTTAATAGTTTAAAATGACCAGAGTTTAGATTCTTTGGTCATGAGTAGTTACATAGGGGCTTGTTTCTTCCATACAGCTCTTATGCTGAGGACCTGTAATCTGGCTGTCACCAATGACTGTCACCTACACAGCCAGAGTTGCAAACGCCCGTTTCTGTGGCTTCTCCAAGCTGCTTTTGGCCTGGAAAGGCAGCATCTACAAGGTGTTGTACAAAGAGTTCCTGGCTTTCTTTGCCATGTACACAGCCATCAGCATCACTTACAGGTAAGACAAAAAGAATAGCCTCGGGAAACTATGGCTGCGCACACTTTCAATGGTCGATTTTATGTCAATCACTTTGATTCCCTTTCAGATTTTTCTTGTATGATGACCAGAAGAGGTATTTTGAAAAGCTGGCAATTTATTGCAACCACTACGCCAGTCTCATCCCTATGTCCTTTGTACTGGGTAAGCACCGGTGATGTTCCTGTCAGTTTTTGGATAACAGAAGAAGGGGCAGAATTTGTGCTGAAACATGTAGACCTTTGTTTAGTGTGATCTTTGCAACACAAGAATGAGCAGCCAGAAATTTACTTAATAGGTTTCCATGTCAACGACCCTCAGCTCTAGACCTCAAGACCTTCTTTAGGTTTATAGCTTGGGGCCACATATCTATGACTATTATTGCATTGGAGATATAAATATATGTACTGTAGGAGGGAATAAAACATTCTGATTTAATAATTAGAATACAGATTATGTAACCGACTGATTGTGGATAGGCTTCATGCCAATACTGAAATGTGAGACTTTCATTCAATTACGCTGGGCAACATTTCTTTGACTATGCATTCAGTTAGCAAGGATCCATTCTCAAAGACTATTTTCTGCAGTGTGTACTGTAATTTTATCTTTTTCAGATATTTTCATATTTTTCATTCATTCTTTTCTTTTCTCCATAAATGTAAATCAGCTGAAATACTTACATAAACAGTATGTAAAAGGTCAAGATTATCTGACAATATTGGCTCTCTGATGTATCAGTTGGCAAAAATTATGTTTAAAAAAAACTAATTATATTTTGCCAGGGGCCCCTGAGGTCACAGTAAAGGTGACTTGCTGGTCCCTCGACTCCACTAGGGAACCCAGAGGATTGTACGTGATTTGACATAAAACACCTTTAGCCCTTTCTTCCAGGTCTGATCTGTCTCTCCTCTCCACTGCTGTTTGCAGGTTTCTATGTGACCCTGGTAGTGAACCGGTGGTGGAGCCAGTACACCAGCATCCCGCTCCCTGACAGGCTCATGTGCGTCCTGTCGGGGGGCCTCCAGGGGAGCGACGAGCGAGGTCGCCTGCTAAGACGAACCATGATGCGCTACGCCAGTCTGTCGGCCCTGCTCATCCTCCGCTCCGTCAGCACGGCTGTATTCAAACGGTTCCCCACCATGGACCACGTGGTGGAGGCTGGTGAGTAGGCACAAGGGGTCCATCCTTATCCAACAACACCCAGTGAGTTAGATATGATCTTACAATTATCCAAACCATCTGTTCATGGAAATACAAAACACAACTCCTACTTGGAAGGAGGGAAGTGATCAGTCACACACTCATGTCATGAGTGTGTCTTGTTTTTTCTCTTACATTCTCTACAGCAGTGAGAGCAGGAGAAATCACAAGGACAGGCACATCCTGAAATTGAGTGGTGATAAAGAAGGTTTATCATCCGTCCGTTACAAGATCCTGCTGTAGCAATCATCTCTACACACTGTTTTATAAATTAACTGCGTTGCAACTTTTGGTGGCATCAAAGTCTGATTTACACAACGACATAGTTTTTAAGATTTGTAAACAACTGTCAGTAATAGTATATTTGATCTTTCTACTTTGTAACTGATAGAGCTATAGTGTATTGTGTCTTGACACATTTAATTAGGTCTCTCTTACTATATAATGACTTATTTGGAAATGAGATTCAGAGAAAAGTTCAGACTAAATCGTACAGAATATTGATCCCTCATCCCACATTCCACCCTTTCTGTGAGCCACATTGACATTAGGAATGAATTAATTAATCTGAGGTGTGATGGTTTGGTCTGCTGTTTATGCAGGATTCATGTCAAGAGAGGAACGGAAGAAGTTTGAGGGTCTCCACTCTCCTTATAACAAATACTGGATCCCCTGCGTTTGGTTCACCAACCTGGCGGCTGTGGCCCGCTGCGAGGGCAGGATCAAAGACGATCACACGCTCAAACTACTGCTGGAGGTGCAGCATATGTCCACACACCATTGCAGAGGCCCAGTGGTGATATGGAGCTACAGTTTTTAACGAGAGAAGAACGAGGATAAATGTGACCTCAGCAACTCTCTCTATTTGTGTGTGAACAGGAACTGAATGGGTTCAGAGGGAAGTGCAGCATGCTGTTTCATTACGACATGATCAGTGTTCCCCTAGTCTACACTCAGGTGAGTGTACTGCTGCTTAGGAGGCTGCGTGATTTTAACTCTACTGTGTGCACTTTATTTGATCATACTGACATCTTTTCATGCACCAATACACTCAAGATGGGTTATGTTTTTTGTATCTTTTAACAGTTTTGTGCATTGGTCCTGAAGTGTTATTTTAGATACATTTTACAGTTGAAATGACAAATAATCTTGCAGGCAGTGGAGATACTGGCTGATATGCATCTGAGAAGCATTAGTAGTACTAACATGTATTTACACATTTGTTTTACCCACCATTTATATTAAATTAAGATACTAGCTAAAAGTACAGTACATGTCAGAATCCAAAAGTTAATTAAGCGAAGCGACGGGCATTTGTACATGTCACAGTAAGAAAAGGAGAATCATAAAATAATGATGGTTGCTTCAGTTTCAGGCCCCTGGTTAGGGATGCACTGATAATGTTTTTTAGTTATTGTTAGAACTGTAATGGTATTATTAGGTGCTCATATCGGCACTTGGTATTGGCAAGTACCCAAATGTAAGTGCTTGTACTTGTATAAGTACTTGTACTTGTATTTGGTCTGAAAAAAAAATCTGTGTATCCCTAGTCCCAGTGTTATGCATGCCTGTTCACACTGTCGTGGCTTAATGGGACACTTAAACAGAACGGACCACTCTCCTATTATTGAGTAAAAACGTCTGCTCTGTGACCAAGTTTTTATTTTACACATTCTTTTACCTTTATTAACAAATGACATTTTTAAATCACAGTTGCTATTTACATATACTGATAATAGGAGATGCCATCCATGAATGACCAACCAATTTACGTTGTATATAAGAAAAATAAAAAGCACAATTTCTAGAATATTTGTAACTGGGTACTTGTTATAAATATGTTAACTTCAGTAGTCCTTCTGTATTCCTGTCTAACAGATCAACTCTATGAAGCTGATTTTCACTTCATAAACCTGTTTTTCCTGGCAGGAAATGCTTAATGACATTAATGAATGTTCCATTTAATTGTCCTCGTAAAGAGCCAGCGTGCACAACCCTTGGGCTCTGACACCAGCACGCCTACATGAAATACAGCTCTTACTTGTGTTATTAGTTGTGACTGTGTTTGGCAGGACAAATGTGACACAGGTGTTCTGCTTGAGCAACATTTTACACTCTTAGACACATGAATTTATGTCTATAAAATAACAATAATAATAAAATAATAATATCTGTTACTTAACATTAAGGGAACTTGAACTGAAGCTAGCTGCCTGCACAAAACACTGGATAAAAACAATGATTTATAAACAGTCATTTCAGAGGAAGAATTAAAGAGAGGTGTAACGTGAATTAACTCCATCTATCTCACAGGTGGTGACTTTGGCAGTTTACAGTTTCTTCCTGGTGTGTCTAATCGGTCGCCAGTTTCTGGACCCCAGTCAAGGATATCCAGGTCACGACCTCGACCTCTACGTTCCCATCTTCACCCTGCTACAGTTCTTCTTTTACGCTGGGTGGCTCAAGGTCAGAAATAGGGTCACATATCATATGTTTTCATACCGGAGTACAATATAAACATAAAACAATATCAATGAATCATGTAGTTAGTTTGTTACGTTTGCTGTTATGTCCTGAAGGTTGCAGAGCAGCTGATCAACCCTTTCGGAGAAGATGATGATGACTTTGAGACCAACTGGCTGATAGACAGAAATTTCCAGGTTTCTTGATGTTAATGCTTTTTTTGTGTTTAATATGTTATTTGAGATATTTGTTTGAATGCGTTGCCAAAAACTGGAACAGAAACCCCCAGAGTCAAGTGAAAAATTCTGATCCGTTTTCTAAATCTGATCTAAATTGTTTTTCTCACCAGTGTGTATGACTTCAGAACAGGTGAAAAATATTCATCCCTTTGCCTGGATAATAAGTTAATTTAATTTATTTGATCTATCTGTATCAGGTATAATAACAGTTTGGGCAGATGAGAAGGCAAAAGTGTGTGTTGTTGTAATACTAATTTCAGCCACAAGAGGCTGAACTCGACCACTACTCCATATTCTAAATAGGACTGATATTATTAAAATACATGTCTTGCCAAATTAAAGACATGGCATTAATTAATTAATGTTACATGGATGCTTTAAGTCCTATTTAGAACATGGGGTACCTTTTAACTCTTAAAAAATTATCCTGGAAAAAAACGTTTTTTTTACTTATTGTAAAGTCATTAAGAGGAGGATTTTGATCAGACTTAAAGAATGGATCACCAAAGTTTTTTTTCCAACTTGCCGTAGAAAACCTCATACATAAAAAACACATCCATTTTGGCTGTCATGTTGCAAATCAGAGACTATATTACTAGATGCTGTGCTAAATCAACAGGTACAATATAATTGTAATAGGGGTTGTAGTATGCTCTTTACTGTGTATACTTAATCTGTGTGTGTGTATCTGCACTTTGCTTTGCAGGTGTCCATGATGGCGGTGGACGAGATGTATGGAGATCTGCCTATGATGGAGAGAGATCGCTACTGGAATGACTCCAACCCCAGACCCCCCTACACCGCCGCCACTCTCTTTGTCCTCCGCAAACCCTCCTTCCAGGGGTCCACTTTTGACATGGCGTGAGTTTCTGGGTTTTACCTTCTCATTCTATGTGTGCTCAACTTGTGACTGTGACTCTTTCAGTTTGAATCCCTCCTCTGGGTGGGAAAATCTGGGTGATGAAAGTGAAAGCATTCTACCTTAATTCAAGAAGTAGTGTGATGTAATTGGGACTGAGAAAGAGTAAAAATGTTCAAACACAACAACTGTAAAGAAAGGTACTTTCAGGTCAATGAAATGTCACAACATCTCTTCACAGGATCCCTAAAGAGGAGATGCACTTCCAGCCTTTGGAGGACATTGCTGAGAACCTGGAGGAGTCAGGCAATCGTCACCCCAACATGGCCCTCTTCAACCGTCTACTCAATGCAGCTCCCTCCCCAACTGGCTTCATGGGAGGGGCTCTTCGGCGTACCTCAGCACAACTTCAGAGGCTACGCCACTCGCCCAGCATTGACCAGTGCACCAGCGATGATGATGACGATGAAAGCTGTAAAATAGGTAAAGGTGGGTCCCTGCCGTCAGGGCTGGGGCAGGAAACTCAGAGTACTGTGTGCAGTTTCAGGGAGGAGATGAGTGTCAGAACACCCCTGCTGGAGATTCAGTTTGGGGCGGAGCAGGAGAGGCGCGGGGGGCACCCTGCCGTCAATGACAGGAAAGAAGTGGAGGGGAAGAGTGATGAAGAGCTGCAGATGAGAGAGGAAAGCGGGAAGGCAGAGAGTACAAGGGAGGAGACCTATTCTGTGTCACTGCTTCCTCCTCCTCCCCAGTCCTCAAGAGAGACTTCCACTCGACCAGTCTCCGCCATTAGCATCACCTCCCATCACCCCTCTGCCTTTCAGTTTCACCCGGCTGTCCACTCCAGTCTGGAGCACTGCAGCTCCCAGCCAGCTATCAACCAGAACAGAGCTGTGGCAGGCATTCTCAAACCTCCCTTTGGTAGAAACAAGATGTCTCTACTCACTGTACCGTCTTACAACGAACCTCAGCGCTTTCGCAGTATGAGCATGGGATCAGAGCTCACTGGGCCTTAGGTGGACAATAGGTTGTGATGTTCCCATGAACTTTTGACTGTATGAAACCATAATGCTTGATTTAGTGCACGTTTTCACGAGTGAAATTACTCATAGATTTGGAACTGTGCTTCCACTTTTACTTTGAATCTGCAGCACTTTTGTAGCAAAATTATCAGTTTTTAAGATATTAAAGATTGTTAAAGATGTACTACCAGATGTTGTTGAAGAAAGAAGTAGCTTCCCATGTTTCCAGAAGAGAAAACTCTCCTCACTGGTGATGTTTGAAAGTCACCTGTGAACTGTACAACTTTTCTGGGACCTGGGAGGAAAGTTCGGTATTTAAAGGCAGTATTGAGTTCTCTGGCAATTTGTTAGATTTTTGGACACTCTTACTGAGTGTGTGAGAAAAAAATATGAATTTAAACTGTATATTCAATAGCCTACAGACATTATATGTTTGTGCTAAGTTAGCGAGGCTTAACATGTCAACGCTACCTGCGCACAAAAGAGATGAAATATGAAGCCAATTGTTTCTCAAAGTCGAGGAGTTCGTGTTTAAAGGAAAATGTTTTTCTGGTTTTCCAGTTATCTGCAAATTATATTGTTGAACATTTATATCCTTATTGTCTGTTACTACTGAAGTCTGTCCTACTACTTAAGCATTACCAAAACGTTTGGCCAGAAAATGGTGCTAAAATTATGACAAAATGACATTTTTCTTTGTTCACTTTATTTTCTTTGATTAGTCAAATATTCCTGCAAATAGAATGATTTCAAATGTATTATCTTGTATATTTTTAAACATTTAATTTAAACAAATATTGAATGATATTAATGAGATAAGAACAGTTTTACATGAATGACAAATAATCATTGTTTTGCATTATTTCTAATTGTATCTTACCTGCAGTAATAAATGTATATTATACAATGAAGAATGGAGCAGAAAGTCTAGTGATTATTGACAAGTACACATTTAGTTACATACATAAAAACAGTAAACCAAGACATTTACTATTTAGTTTTTACATTAAATATAAGTCCAGTACCAGCATTGATCAGCAGGGGGCGATAGCAGCAAACCAAATACAGCACAGATAGTCAGTAAATTAAAAAAATGACAGAAAATGCACACATTTTCCCACAATCTTGCTTTTTCGTCCCATGGTCTGCACGCCTCCATTTCCCACTGTGGCTGGAGGGTCCTACCTGGGCTGCAGCCGGGGGGAGAGCGCCCTCCTGGCCTGGGTGGACTGTCTCTGTTTGGACAGGAAAGACTGAGCCGGGCCTGGAGCTCTGGAGTTCTCACACAGACTGTGCTGCTGCAGAGCTGAGGACTGCAAGAGGCAAAAACTACTGTCAGCTGTCAGTGGAAACACTTCTAATACTAACATTTATGCATGTTGACCAGACGGGACTGACACCTGCTATCATTGATAATAATAATAATAAATAATAAGTACTTCTGCTACTATTATTACTCTACTGTACCAGCAGAAATAATTCAATAGTTACTGACACATGCCTTATGCCATAATTGCCTATGAGTAAACAAATAACATTCGGAAGTGTGCATGTGTAAAACCAGTGCTTAATCTCTCTCATAGTTGAGGGAAGCCAGTGAGGGATAACGTGAACCTCTGTGTACAAGCCGCCCTTCTGGTGAAGCTTGGAGGTTAAAACAAGATACTCTGGGTATCAGAGGAGGCACTTGGTGGTCCACATCCTTCCCCAAAATGGCCAAAAGTGGACTCACCAGTGACAAAGATTGCAGTACAAGGGAATTGGCAATAACATATAGAAAATTGAGGAGAAAAAAAGGGTGTGCAATGAAAAAAAGCACTTATCTGATGTGGGAAATTCTATCTTTAGAATAAGACAAACCAACAAAAGTCTTGCTTTCTACACAAAAACAATTAGAAAGAAGAAATAATGTTTGAATTAGAAATAAATATTGTCTCATCTATGCAACCACTTGTGCATTTACGTTTGTTTGAACTGTTTGAGTCACCATAAATTTGCATGTACATTTTGTTGAACAATACAGCACAGGATATTGTAACATACAAACCTTTCAGTACAGCTTTCATGCACTTCTGATAAACAGTCCTTGAGTTTTAAGGATTTTCTTTCCTCATGTACTCACCATGCTTTGCCAGGCTGTCAGGATCAGTTTCTCCTCTTGTTCCTGTCTGGACCTTGTATTATCAGCTTGTGTGTCCTATTATCAGTAACATTTGAAAAGTCTTTTACAAATCACTTTAACACAAAAAAATAAATGCCCGACACATTAAAAATGACACTAACTCACCTCTGGGGCAGCTGTCAGCCTGGCCTCTCTGTGGCTGGTCATTATTCCAGATATATCACAACACAGACAAATCCTACACAAATATAACCAAAGATTTGTTTGCGTGACTGACCGACTTGTACACCAACAGCCCCCTGACCTGTCCCGTCTGTCTGCAGCTCAGTGGCTGCTCTTGGCTGTATTTTGCAGTGGAGGCCCTGGTTTTGTTGTGTGGCAGACAGAACAATATGGAGAGGTGCTGCAGGCTTAAGTGCTCTGGCTCCTCGCCACAGTCAAAGATGCCATCCTGCTGACTCAGGCACATTCGCTGTTGGGCAGTCAGTCACCGGACTGGGGATTAGTAGGTAATCACCAAAACACAATGCAATTAGGTTGACAAGAGATGCGGCCTATGTTGAAAATGAGTATGTAAAGTTGGGTATCTCAAAATCATATGGAGCATGGAAATCACATGCTGATGAAGCCATAATGATGCTTTATGGTGTGGAGAATCCGAAGTAGTTCTGCTCATTCGTCTGTCAGTTGCGTCATATCACACTTTGATGTTCCCACATAGATCCATGGGTTAGAGTGCATATTTGTTTGTCTGTTTAGCTGAGTCACTACCAGTTTCAGTGACCCAGAAATACCGTAGTTCCCCTAATTATCTCTTGACCAGCATTAAAGGCCAGCAGTATCAGCTTATCAGGCAAGATCAAGCAACAGAGAAAATATCTGGCCACTTGTGGCTAGTTTTCTATTGAAGCTCTATATTTCCTGTCTCCCAGAGTCAGTTTTTACAAAGGTCAACCCATTCCAGTCTTTGTGCTGGCTTCTGGGGAAATGTGGTTTATGTTTTTGTCATTAAGTGTGAAAACACAAGTGTGGGGGAGGATTTTCAAAGAACTGTGTTTGTATGCCTTTTTCTCTGGAACCAGGAGCACTGAGGTCAGCAGGCAGGCTTACCGAAACGATCTAATTTAAGACTCGCAAATGATCTAACCATATTTACCACAAGGTAACGTGCGTTTGCAAGTGTGTGCGCATACGTGTTTGCGCATTTCACTTATCAAACTGTATGTAGTTTGTGGGAATTTAATGAAAGAAGCAAAACAGAGAAACAAAAATGTGGGAAGAAAAGAAACTCTTACAGACAAGTTTCTTGGAATCTGCCTCTTCTGAAACCTGCAAATGTTTACTCTGTTATGAAAGAGACGCACATCACAGACACACAAAGCATTGCAGATTCCCGTTATCTAGCAGAGCCTGAACATCGGTTGTGAAAGCTTCCTCCTGTTGTAGTTTCTGAGCCGCAGTCTCGCAGACTGAGGTTTCCAAACCTTCATTCAGTTTCCTCTGCTCATGACAAGAATCCAACAAGCAATAGATTTTTATGATACACAACTCATACCCATAAACAGCCCTTAGCTAAAGGAAAATTCCAGTTTACTACACCTTAGGTCTTACTTTTGACTGTAGACATGGCAAATGTTTAGCCAGACGACTTTATTTTGAGTTAAAACTGAAAGTGAGCACACCCAAACTATCAGTTATAACCTTCCATTACACATAAAACTGTGTGTGTGAATCTGCTGTAAGTACAGTAGGCCAGAGGTGAAGCACTAAGTTGAACAGTTTGAAAACAGACCGTTTTAGGTAATAATTTCATTGTTTTCCCTTCCAGCTAAGAGACTAACTAATTAACATAGTGAGTACAGTGTTATTATCACCTGTCGGAACAATGTCTAAAACAATACAACGAAGTTCTATAATAGTGGAATTTCCCCTGATCACAGTTTGTCAGTGTGATGTCAAGACAAACAATATAATAATACAATACAAGAATAGAGAATACAGCAACATTCAAAGACAAAAATATGTCATAAAATATGGTTGAACAGGATATCAACACTCTAACTGTAACTGTAACTGTAACTGTAAATGTACTAGAAAGAGACATCAATGTTGTATACATGATGTGTCATGATGTAGGAGTTGAAATAGGGTTGTTAAAAATAGATACTATAGAGACAAACACTGGGTGGCCACATTACACCAAACACCAAGATAGTCCCTCAAAGTGAAAACAACACAAAAATACAAATAGAAAATTGTACATCTCTGTTAAATACAATAAAAACAAACAAACAGCTGTAGTGCTTTTGGTTTTTCCAAGAAAGGAGAGAATTAGGAAAACACCTACTACACCTAAATATGAACTCTCACACACAGTTATGTCAGTGTATACATACACTTACACATGAAAACAAGTTATTTATGTGACCGCAACAATATTTGTTTTATTTAAATGTTGAGTGAAATACACACTCGCACACTCAACATTATGCAAAAATGGGATCTAACCTGCACTTTCAACTGTGTAAACACACTTGTGACTCCACTCAGTGTTTATTGTACCAATTCTAACCCTGTACTTTCACATTTGTTTTTGTCTGGTGTGTGTGTGTGTGTGTGTGTGTGTTTCGGGCACTCCCTGTCTTACACACCCTGCTTCATGAGGAGTACTCTCTGTGCATAAGGACCCGTCTGTCTGGTTCTGTCCTGTCGTGTGCGTGTGCGAATGTGTGTCTATCTATCAGCGCTGTCTGTTCCAAGATGGTTCTCTCTCTGTCACACACACATACAGTATGTTTTTGGCTGTCTGCTGTACTGACTTTGTTTAAACAAGACCACTTTATCAGTATTGTCTGACCCAGAATGAATCAGC